GGGGGGTTTTTTGGCATGAGGAACAAACAAAGCAAAAAAAAAAAAATCACCTTTGCGAACAAGGCAGACAAAGAGCCAATCCACCCTCCCTTGTATTCAGGGAGACCTCTTCGGCTCATTTCCATGAAAGTGAGATTGATTCCTGTTTCACCTGCTAGCCAGCTTTGCAAAGTGCAGTTTGTGAAATAAGCAGCTTACATAACTGTGTATTTTCAGCACTACATACATAAATGCTTCCTCTATCCTGTATAAGGTATTTTTGGATCTGCTAAAATGCTAGTGTTTTTCCAGGGCTTTGCATTCTTCTGCTCAGAAATTGCATAATCTGATGCCATAGGAAATAAGTGATGTTGCATAATGATTCTTAGATTCACTGCGGGATTTCGGTACTACATGTTTCCATTGCAAAGCAGCCCTTCTCCGTGTTTCTGAATTGAGGTCCTCTGTTTTTGAAGAAGGGATAATCTATCAGCTGCCTGAGTTTGGGGGACAGGGGTAACAAACCAAGGACCGTCTTGTAACACACTGTTATGAGAACTGCACTTCACAAAAATCGGTTTAGCTTCGTGCGCCCGTTTGCTACTTCTGTTTTCCCTCACTCTGGTTGTTTGCATGGCTTGAGCTATGTGCATACATTAAACACTCAAAGTTTCATATTCAATGTTCTGACGTCTTAACTGGCCACTGACACCCTCCATCACAGGCTCATCAATACTATTGTAAAACATTTAGCTGGTATAAGAGACAGACCAAATGCTGATTAGCCTTTTATACTACTGAATTACTACTGGAATCTGTCTTAGATCAAAATTTAGAAATGACCTTAAGTTACACTCTTCTCTTTCATCTTTCCAGCTGTCTTCATAGTATGAAACAACTTTTAAAACCCAGTCGCAGACTTCAGGCTCTGCTCTGCTCCTTTTCTCTCTTCACCCTTCAGAATTCTGCACTTTTTTCTTACCTCATTAAAGATCCATGTTATATTACTAAATAGCAATAACAGACTAAAGGATTTAAATTCAAATATTTTACAACTACAAAAACCAGGAAAAACTCAAAGTTAAGCTCACAGACATCTTACAGCTTGGCATTGCTGCACGAAGCCATTACAATGGTCCAGTATCACCAACTAACAGTATCTTGTCATATCCCCACTTCCAGAACCGAAACATCATCTTCTCCTCCAAGGAGTAGTGTTAAGATTAATTAATGCCTGAAAGATCTTTGAGGATGAAGATCAATATCAAATTTGTATTTTCAGGAATCCAGTGAATGAATCAAACTCTCACTTTAATTCATGTGAAGGCATCAAACTGGTCTCAGGTAAATTCACTCACACGCTTGTTCTTATTTTTGTAGTAGGTATGAATTATTCAATATTTGCAAAGCACACTTGACATGTAAAAGCTATACACACAAACTTCTCAGCACTAACAGCTTACATGCTTCACACCCAGTATTAAAGTAACTGAACAACTATCCATGAAAGTACAAAAGTAACTGGGGTACTCGCAATGCTTTGGCCTCTATCAACATTACACCAGGTGCCGGATCCAGCATGTGCACCTGATGGAAGGGGACACTTGAAATCCAGCTGGCAGATCTCTCAGATGAGAAATGACAGCAGTACCAAGTTGTAGTTAGTAAGCACCATAACACTTCTACGAGCAAAGAGGATTACTCCTAGATAGAGAAGCAAGCACAATGACTTGCTGAGGAGCCTCTATTAAGCCTGTATTACCGACACAGCGTTAAGGGGTTAGAGCAACATCCAAGAGGTATGATCCTATTCTTAGGCCACTACAGCTTTACGTGATGGTAACACGATCAAGACAGCACACAGTCACGGACTGAAGAACTGTAGAGAACCCTCCGGAGGCCTGACGTGACCCATGCCATCTAACACCTTGCAGAGACCTTCCAAGGCAGTACTCAGCCTCTTGGTTCATCCCTACTAGATCACTTTTTGACTACGGTTGATAAACCAACACTTGGGAACCTCCTCAGACACAAAAGGATGGTGAGGTTAGATTTTCTGTGCTTCTGCTGTACAGCTGCATTACTGATTTTGGTGTCCTCCAGAAGACCTGAAGGTAACAGAGGAACAGGTTGGGGACAGGAAAGGGCAAACATCCTAGGAATGAAGAAAATGTCAAAGCAGAGAGACCTCCATTCCTCAAGCCCACTGTGCTGGAAAAAGCCCAGCCTCCCACCCACGACCCGCCAGGACTTTCTCCCTCCTTCCCTTATACCACCTCTCATGCTGAGCTAGCAACTGCTCCAGAAGAAACAGCACAAACAACTACAGGTTCACCGGAGGATTAAAACCCACGTACTTCACACAGAAAAAACTATTCTTCACCCTGGCCTACACCCAACTGTTGCTAATGCCTTTGAACCCACTCCAACGACCAACTTTTCGGTTGAAGTTGTAAACAGGGAAAG